ATGTAAATAGTGTACATAATACCTGATCTCAGAAATATAGACAGATACTGAAAGGCCGAAACGTTGTAATAAATATAGTGACAGATGAGGACAATAGTCCGAATAATGTAAATAGTGTACATAATACCTCATCTCAGAAATATAGACAGATACCGAAAGGCCGAAACGTTGTAATAAATATGGCGACAAAGATGTGGACAATAGTCAGAATAATGTAAATAGTGTACATAATACCTCATCTCAGAAATATAGACAGATACCGAAAGGCCGAAACGTTGTAATAAATATGGCGACAAAGATGTGGACAATAGTCAGAATAATGTAAATAGTGTACATAATACCTCATCTCAGAAATATAGACAGATACTGAAACAAAATTTACCGAAAATCTCCTCTGAATAGTAAAATAAAAAATGCAATAAAACTATGACATTATTTTATTAGGAAAGCTTTTAATAAATAAAATGTATTAATGACATTGTCTTAAGAAAAAAATTCCATGAATAATAAATTTTTACAAGAATTGTTTTCATTTTTTATTAATTTTACTTAGAATAATTTAAGTTAATAATTTAAGTTTTAAATATTTTAAAATTCTCTATTAGCTCCAGCATTTTAGATGATATTATTATTAAGTAAAAACTATATTTATTAATCATTAATGGAAAAGCTTAATACAAATCATCAAACATTAATATTTTTAAAATAATTTTGAATGTGTATAAACGTCACGATTTTTGTAAATACGGTCAACCATAAACAACATTGTTAGAGCGATATCTATAGTAAATTTAAAACCAGAATGTCTAAAATTCAATGAAACATTAGATTACAGAGAATATTTTCCTAAATTTTTAAGATTACTGAATACTTAGAATTTATATATAAAAGGTGCTCACATTATATTCAATTATTTTTTGGCTATAGACCCCATATAACAACATTAGATAAACATCAATCTTTCATCAAGCTGTTAAACACGTCAACGGCTTAAATAAGACTACATTCGGGTTAAAAAAATGCACTTCTCCCATAATTTTAACTTAAAGTAAATAATATGTGTTTCAAATCAAATTTATTAAACTTTAAATCAGCTAATATTTCTCAAATAAAGTTTCAGAAATTTTATTTTTGGAAGATTTTTTTAATAAAGAGAATTACATTGCGATGAAAGACGGTTAAAAAAAATGGGGCGTTAATCAGCTATTTTAGGAGAAAAAAAATATTTCCAGTCAATTTATATTATTTTTGAAATACAGTAAAGTATTTTTCTTATTGGAAATATTAAATTTAATCTATTAGCTCAAAATTAAAGCTAAAATAAAAGCTTCAAAAAGATTTTCAATTTTAAAAATTAATTTTATACCTGAGGTATAGCGATTTCTGTGATGGTCCTGCAGTTCTTCTTTATGCTAAATTTAATAAAAGGGAATAAAATAAGGAAAAATATATACTCTTAAACTATTGGCCAAAGAAAATTTATTTTTAAACAAATATAAATAACAAATTCTTGATTATTACGCTGCTGATCTTCTAAATTTCTTTTGAATTTATATTTCTTTTTCGCGCGCTTTTTCAGACACGGATAGAATTACGCTGTTTCTGTTTATTCTTTTAACCTCACAGGCTACCGTGTGTAATAAAAAGTTATTTCATTCACCTCTAAGTCAAAGGTAAGTATAGCTTTTAGAAAATCCAGTTAATTAAGTTTTGAATTAAAAAAAATAAACTTCTAAACTCATCTCTAGAATAAATATTGGATTATGAACAGAATTTTTCATTTTTTTGTTTGCATTTTTTGTATACAATGGCGGCTCGATGAGTCGATGAGTTACCAAAAATCGTGCCAATGTTTTTAAAATGCCTAAAAGGTTTATTTATATACGGAAATTAATTTTTCTTTCAATTCGAATTAGCTTGAGGCCATTATCTTTCGAATTGAAGAAGTGTATTTAGATTATTTAAAACGTTTTTTTTGTGTTTAAAACCTTTTTAAAATATATATATATATATATATATATATATATATATATATATATATATATATATATATATATAGGGGTGTAAATTGGAATCAAATATATATCAAATATGGATTTGAATCTGACAGAATGATACGTGAAGGGACAGATAATTATAAATTTATAAATGTTTTCCTATTTTTTATCCTACCATATATATATATATATATATATATATATATATATATATATATATATATATATATATATATATATTATATATTTATCCTATATATATATATATATATTAAATCCTTTTTCCAATGGGTGTGTGTGTGTGTGTGTGTGTGTGTGTGTGTGTGTGAGAGAGAGAGAGAGAGAGAGAGAGAGAGAGATAAACGATGTGGTAAGATAGATTAACCCTAGCTGATTGTAATGTTAAGCGAACTCGTCTTATTAGATTACGACTTAGTATTCGGTTCTTTCTGGGTACTCCATACTTTCAACCTTGTGCCACATCTAAGCTACGCATAGTAAATTGCTATTATTTTCTATTCATTGAGATATTGACAATTAACAAAGAACAAATTGATTTCAAACCAAATTGACCTTTGTCATAACATATTTTCTATATTTTGTTTTTTTTCTCCTTTTTTTTCAATCGAAAACATACGTACAGAAACAGGCACAAATCTTCGTGATGGTAAATCATTCGAGTAAGTCCAATCGAAATATATTGTGATGATCTTTTCCCGAAGAAGCGTTCAATATTTTTAATGGGAATTTCATGTCGAAAGAGAACGCCTCAGTTAAGCTGACCAGGCGACTGGGCTCGACAAGATGTCGCTCGTCGAGCGGCAATAACGTTATAAAAGTCGAGATTCTTACACCTTGAAAAAGAAGACAACAATTAAGACGATGTTTGCAAACTGATATTTCGAAAAATAAATTCACTGGCAGTTTTATTACATTATCAAACGACCGCTATTTAAGATGGTCGAATTTTAGCTGAATTTACAAATAAAACAGAAAAATAGGTGTTTGATAAAATCTAAGGGCATCTCGTTGCCATTTTCTTAAAGATTCATGACAATTCATTTTTCCATTGAAGATATGAACTTGATAAAGGTTACAGCTGGGTTAAGTCGTTTACTGGATTTCTGAGGTAAAATATTTTATTTATGGTGTTATTTGTTTTTAACATAATGTTTTAAAATTTAACTGGTGTATTCTTCGACTTAATTAGTGTGGATGAGCGACTCGGATTGTGACGTCGGGGAGCGGAGTTCGAATTCCTGTTGAATTCGTTAAAATAACTTAAGCTCTTGGGAAAGGTATGAATTTTTCTCTTCTCCACCCCCACTCCAAGCTATAAATTAAATGGTAGGATTTGTATCTAGAAAAATCATTATCTCCCAAATATTGTTAATAGAATATTCACTTGCAAAAAAAATATGTTTCAGCCTTAGATAACCCAGTTGGTGGTTGTATCTGATCTTCAGGGTTGCTTTAACACCTAATCCTTACCATGTGTGCGTATCGTCGTGATTATCGACCTAGGAAATGGAACGGGCGTATCGAGTTCAAATTCCATCCGGGGACGTTGCGTTCGCTTTCTCAGAAATACCATTAGAAAAGTATCACCACCCATCTCTCCCCACTTGTCCCAGCAGAGCAAACCTGGACGTCAACTAGTCCAGGAGAAGGAAAAACTCTGAATGCAAAACTAACCTGAAGAGGAATGGGCTCCGTCAGTCTAACCTTCCACCTTCAATACATATGGTGCCTCAATGACCCTCATGTATTACTGGACTCATGATGTGACGTCTGTCAGCGTTGTTTTAGTTCCTAAGAACATGTAGCACAATTTAAGTCGACGGGTAGACTCATAAAAAAATAGAGAAATCATTTTCGGGGAAATATTTTTTGTGAATTAGCATTCATTAGACACGCCTCAAAGTTCGATATTTGTCACTATCGAAAAATATTGATTTTTTAATCATTTTAGACGTGTGGTGGGGTCCTGTTGGTAATATCGATACAATCCACTAAGAAACAAGGGGTTACTAAGTATGAAAAAAAATAGAAAAAGAAAAACATTATTGGGGAGATAGAACAATGAAAAAAAAAAAAAGAGGAATCAAGATGACAGTAGATAACGATTGAGATTGCATTATTTACATCATTCGGACTATTGTCCTCATCTTTGTCACCATATTTATTACAACGTTTTGGCCGTTGTACGCTCCGGCCTTCTTCAAGTGGTTGGAATGTCGAACTGAACACTTTATTTCGCTCACTGGGGTAGACTGTTCTAGTTCCACGTGCCATGTTTAATGGATGTCAGTTATCAGTTATCTTCTGTTAATTTCCCTCTGAAAGTTCTCCACTGCCTTAACCGCCTCAAGAACACATGTCACAGTGGATAAAGGCGTTGGTTAGATCCAGTGACAATACCCAAAGAGTACCCGGTTAAGGCAGTGGAGAACTTAGAGAAGGGAATTAACAGGAGATAACTGATAACTGACATCCATTAAAACATAGCACGTGGAACTAGAACAGTCTACCCCAGTGAGCGAAATAATGGGTTTAGTTCGACATTCTAACCACCTGAAGAAGGCCGGGGCGTACAACGGCCGAAACGTTGTAATAAATACGGCGACGAAGATGAGAACAATAGTCCGAATAATGTAAATAATGTACATAGTACCTCATTTCAGAAATATAGACAGATTGACATTGTATTTAAACTTTTGAAGCTCAAAGTTGGCTGAAAAGCAAGAAGCCGGAAGAGAGTTCCACACGTTATAGACATTATTTACAGCCAGAAAATAGCTTTAGGTTATAAGATTTTAAATGATTTACTGATACAAGTTGTAGTAATTACTGCAGAGCTGGGGGAGGAGAAAAAAATGGACTAATGCTTTTCTCAGGGGCATTTTCGCGTAAGTGTATATAACAAACCCAACAGGAATTGGAACTCGGCTATCCGATTTACAATTTCGTACCGTTACCCATTACACCACCCACACATTCAAGCTTACATCCCCTGATATTCCTAAGCGGTTAGCCATCTAGGTACTGACAAGGCTCGAAGTTGTTTAACTTCAGTGATCTTACGAGAACCGATGTTCCAACGTGATGTGGCCGTAAAACATAGATAGCTGGAAACGGAAATGCTATAAAAGTGTACCCGTCGTTCTACAGAAGAATTCGTAATTAAAATATCTAGCGTGTTAAAGATTTCCGTGGCATGTCAAAAAAGCCAGACAAAATTAGGTTCAACGTATATCTATCAAAACGGTAGGCCCCAGGAGAAAAACTAACCAAAAATAAAATCCTAAATAAGATGAGAAATTTGTGAGCGGAGTGAAAAGAAAAAATAAAACAAAACAAAAATAAATTAGGTGCTATAAAAAGCGTCTAATAGAAATCACATCACGAGATGATATATAAAAAGGGAAATTGCAACCAATCGTTGTTGGTTCAAGCAAGTTCAAAATCCTTCCAGTTGCTATCGCCTAAAAATGGTTTTGCAACAGGTCGTGGTAAGTCATTTGAAAAATGCCAACCGGTCTACATAAATCTACGCCAAGCAACTTCCTTTTCTCGTATAGTGATGCAGAGCGGCTAGAATTTAAGACTCCCTAACAACTGAACCTAAAGCTTATACTTCTTTTACTCGTGTAAAATAGCTTCTAATCCTGTATTTAGTTTTGTTTCGTTTCGTTTGATTTACGGTATATCAATCTCAATGGGTTATTTAATGCCAACAAGATTTTTATTGCTGGTAATATTTTTATCTATCTATCTATCTATCTATCTATCTATCTCAGTATATATTGGTTTTGTTTGTTTTGTTTTACGGCATATCAACCTCAATGAGTTATTTAATGCCGACAAGATTTTTTATTGCTGGTAATATCTATCTATCTATCTATCTATCTATCTATCTATCTTAGTATATATTGGTTTGGTTTGTTTTGTTTTACAGCATATCAACCTCAATAGGTTATTTAATGCCGAAAAGATTTTTATTGCTGGTAATATTTTACTCTTCAAAAATGTATTGCTGGTAATTCATTTTTCTTTCTTTTCCAAAAATGTATTTCTGGTAATATTATTTTTCAATAATGTATTTCTGGATTATATTTTTTTTTCAAAAATGTATTGCTGGTAATATTTATTTATTGCAAAAAATGTATTGCTAGTAATATTTTTTCCAAAAATCTATTGCTCGTAATAATTTTTTTATTCAAAAATTCACTGCTGGTAATAATTTTTACAAAAATGTGTTGCTGGTATTAGAACCTATTTTTACATTTTCATAGCGTTTTGACCCCAGTTTGGGAGTTAACTATTTTCCCATAACTTGGACCCTAACAGGTGCTACCACCCCGGGTCAGGGTGGGCCTGGGAAAACCAACAATTAAGAGGTGGTTTCACGGTCCTCAAAACCTCCTAATCAGAGACCTTGGTGCTGGATGTAATTTATCGTCTTACTCAGGACGCGGATGTAGTTTATCGTCATACCCGGGACGGCTCCTGTATTTACTAAAATGAACTAATTTTCTCTTTATCAGATACATGTCTCTTTTGACAAACATTTAAGGTTGAGTTGCACAAAATGCACTGCGACTAGAAATAATAAATTTTTAAATTTATTACTCATTTTACTATTAATCCTCATACGGAAGCCAAAACAAATATGCTCATACGACATGAGTCATTAAGATTTTTAAAAATTATTTTTTTCCATTTTTTTTTAAATCTGTAATCTGGTTTGCTTAATCAGAAGTAATATAGGAAAAAGTCTAGATTAAGAATTCCAAAATTAAAATTAAAATTTTACATTTTAAAGAATTATGTGTTATGATCATATTTTGTTTTGGCTTCCGCAGTTGGATCTAATCATAATGAATTTGCATTTCGAACTGAACCTCCTATAAACTTTTACAAAGTTTTGGTTAAGGAATTTGCTTGGTGCATGTTTTTGAGGACAAACTAGTATTTTTTAATTGACCGAAACAACCTATTGCAAAGTTTCATATTTATCTGTTTTCAGGGAGCACAATCTCGCCTTTTTTTTTAATTTACTTAACCCAACAGTTATTAGTTGAATTTTTCAAAATCCTGATCTTTCTTTTTTAAAACTATATATCTAGTCATAATTCAGATTTTTCCTTTTCCCCTGCCTTACACACACAGAGACATACATGTACGCACATACATATATATATATACTAGCAGTAGAGCCCGGAGTTGCCCGGGGATGTAACAGTAAGAGATAGATCAAGTATCGACCATCATAAAGACTGAAAAATAAAATTGACAAAGATTATTGTTTAAGGTTGACGGACATGCATGTCTTAATTAGTTTTTTTGTTTTTGTTTTTTTTTGTTTTTTACGAATTGGTCAAACTCAACAAAAACATTGTTTTCAATCGTTATGAGTCTATCCATTGAATAGAATTTTATTATAAACAATTGTCTTGTAAATGGAATTTTTAAAGCATTCTGAATGTAAAAATAAAGAAAAAAATGTGCAAGACAATAAGAAACACTACCTGGCAAAAAAGTGAAGTTTTGTTGAAATCGGTTGAAAAATGTAGGAAATCCGATCCCATATACAAACGAACACACACGCGCACACACACACACAAACAACCTGGGTTTTATAATAAGTAAGATATATATATATATATATATATATATAGAGAGAGAGAGAGATAGATAGATAGATAGATAGATAGATAGATAGATAGATAGATATGTGTGTGTGTGTGTGTGTGTGTGTGTGTGTGTGTGTGTGTGTGTGTGTGATGTTTGCAAACTCGTGTTCGAGTATTGCCATTGCTTGAATACCCATAAGAGAGCTCATCGATGAGCTGCTCTCTTGTGGCTTTTAAGTCCTGCTTTGACACAGGAATAGCAGACATGGACATCTGTGGCAACAGTTCCTGCATCTTCGATGCCACGTATTATAACATTGTCTTTTTAATCCTACTGCACTTTTGCACACTTTTGCACATATATTACATATTCTATTATCAAGTAACGCGTAATCCGCTCTCAGATGGCATTGATGCGTTCTTTCGTAACTTTTCAGACCAGCTAGGGTCAAACAGACTCGGTCACATATAACACATTTGAAACCGACCTGATTACCCATTTTGTTTTTCGCTTCATTCACGTACCCCTTCCGGAAATCTCTTTTCAGCTTTTCATGTTCAACGCGTTTTTTTCTCAAACAAATTCTTTCCTGCATGAACCTCTCTCCTCCACTTTCTCCGATCCAATGTCGTGCTCTCCCAGGTCAGAACATCAATACCACACTTCCTTAAGGATGTTTTCAAAGAATTTTCGGTTTCTGAGCGGGCCGCTTACCCCCTGCGATTTCGTCATACGGAAGTTGCTTGGGCTGTCGTTTGTTCTTCATTCTGACTAGATGCCTGCTCCGTCTTAATCGACACTGAAAAATGATCGATTCTATGCTTTGACGCCGGGCTTGTTGTAATACCTCAACGTCACTAACGCACATTTGCCAGCGAACGTCAAAGAATCTCCTGAAGCATTGTTCGTGAAAGCGTTCAAGACGCTTTATGTGCTTTCTGTATGTGGTCCAAGTTTCACAGGAATACAGAAGAGCAAATAGCAAACATGCATAATAGACTTTTATCTTTGTCCCCAAAGAAATCCCGCGGTACCTCCAAAGCTGTTTATCCAGTTTTCCAAACGCGTCACTCGCTTTACTGATTCGCAAGCACACCACGTCATCAAGGGTTTCAGTCATGCTTAGCGTGCTGCTCAAGTACACAAACTTCCCGACCATTTTCAGTCTCTGACCATATAAACAAATTTTTGTGCCCAAAACAAGATAGGATCATCTTTAAAACCGGGATCATAATTTATTCCTAAAGCAAGGCTACAAAATACTCAATTTGTTTTTTCATCTACTGAATTTAGAATAAAACCCCAAAAAAGTGGAAGGGGACAAAAAAAATTAATATTTTTTTGCCGTAGAATTAGCGACGCACACCTCGAAAAGTGCTAATTTATGTCTTAATTCTCTCTGCCTACACAGTGTCGGAAGTTGTATATTAATAACAACAGACTCCAAGATGTCGGAGTGGAGTCTAGTCCGTGCCCCGTGCAAGGCAAAGAAGAAATCCTGAGAGGAGGCCGTCATGCTAGCAACATAATTCAATAAATACTCGCCGATAGTAGACTCATGAGCCTGTGGGCACACGGATTTTACAAGCACATGTCAGCGTCTTTGACCAGGGACATGCTGGGCGATTCTAACCTCCATCCGCTGACAACTTAGTCAGTCTCACTCTGACATTTATATTAATAAACTACTAAGATCTGCTGACATCCTTACGAACAGAAGGAAAAGCCCTTCGGGTAGAAAAATATTACGGGCCATTACAGAATTAAAACACCTCCTCCTGACTGAGGAACATAATTTATCGGCGTATACCTGACTAGCGGTACCAATCGACGAGACCTAGATGGACCAAACATTTTAACTCCATTAAACTTAGCAATTTTACGCTCAATGGTAATTGTAATAACAAATTAAAGGTAACCATTCGCCAGAAACTGCTGTTTAATTTGCCCGAGCTCAGCGTCGAGCTTGCCCTCCAAACATAATATCAAAACGTGATGACACTATTTACATTATTCAGACTATTGTCCTCATCTTTGTCGCCATATTTATTACAACGTTTCGGCCTTTCAGTATCTGTCTATATTTCTGAGATCAGGTATTATGTACACTATTTACATTATTCGGACTATTGTCATCATCTTTGTCGCCATATTTATTACAACGTTTCGGCCTTTCAGTATCTGTCTATATTTCTGAGATCAGGTATTATGTACACTATTTACATTATTCAGACTATTGTCCTCATCTTTGTCGCCATATTTATTACAACGTTTCGGCCTTTCAGTATCTGTCTATATTTCTGAGATCAGGTATTATGTACACTATTTACATTATTCAGACTATTGTCCTCATCTTTGTCGCCATATTTATTACAACGTTTCGGCCGTTCAGTATCTGTCTATATTTCTGAGATGAGGTATTATGTACACTATTTGCATTATTCGGACTATTGTCCTCATCTTCGTCACCATATTTATT